CTGGTTTTTCAAAAGACATTTTGCTTCTCATCCAAGAAGCTTCCTCGGTTCTTGACTGGATGGTGGGGAAGGGAAGGATTCCCATTCCTCTCCTTGATGAGTTTCCATCCATTCTTCGTTGTCCTGCTTTGCGGTGCTTTGGAGAATAGCTTGACTGGGGCAGCCCCTCAGATATTGGAAGGCTGCCGTCACGTCGCCCCTACGCCTCCTTTTCATTCAACGATCCCCGATTCCAGCAATATTCTCGATGTCCAAGCCAGCTTTTTCCACCCCGATTTTCAATCAAGCTAAAATCGGTGATTTTCCTCTGGACTCGGTCTTACCCTTCCTCCTCAATTTCCTTCGAAATCCTAGGGTCCAGGAAGAGACCGGAAGGCCTGTTGCTACCTACAAGGATCTGGACTGCGCGGAGCTGGTTCTGGATGTTTCTCCCAAGACGCAGAGAGTCATCCTAAAGAAAAAGGTAGGAAACTTCACCGGGTTGAACCAGGAGAAGTCCTTTCACTAGGACGGCCTCTGTTACCTGCTCGCCAGCATGATTCTGCGGTCAAGCGAGAATTGGTAAGTTGGTCACTGCCTCCTGTCTGTACTGTGTACTCCCACATGCGCTGTCCCTGATGACGTTCCCTAGTTGGGTCATGGAAACGTCTGCAAGCAAACCAGCATGGTCAGGGAGCCCCCAAGGATCCCACAGTCCTCCTCCTCCTCCTCCTCCTCTCAAGAAACATCTGCAAGCAAACAACCAAATTCAGAATGCGCCAAGGACCCCACAAGCCACTCCCTCCTCCTCTTCCTCCTCCTCTCTTCAAACCTCCCTCCCTTCTAGCCCTGATGAGGTTCCCTAGTTGGGTCCTGGAAACGTCTGCGAGCAAGCCACTCAGCTCAGGGAGCCCCCGAGACTCTGTCTCGAAGAGGCTAAAACTGACGTGCAGCCTCTCGGTTTCATTCAGCCTCCCCCCACACACACTTTTTCCGCCCCTTCGCAGGAACCTGGGAAACGCTCTCAGCTGTGGAGAATGACAGGGACCGGCATGCTGTGCCACGAAGGCTCGGCCGTCCCCCGTCCCCCGAATAAACCTTCCCCGCCTCGCTCGGCCGAGTCCTCCATGATTCTGGACATCGCTGGGTTGGCCGCTGTGACGGACAACAGGTGGGCGAAGCTCACGGTTTTCTCTCCATCTCGGACGCTCGGTTGGAGCGTCCTGTACAGGTAGCTGGGCCCGAATTTTCCGTTGCTAAGCGCGGCGGTTGCTAAGGGATTAGAAGACCGTCCCTTCCGGCTCTGTTCTGATGGATGGATGGATGGATTGACTAATCCATTGAAATGGTCTAGAATCTCCGGCTTCCGCAGGGGGCCAGACTAGAAGACCTCCGCAGCCCCCTTCCGCCTCTGTTCTGACCGACGGACGTTGTTCCTGCTGCCCTAGATACGAGCCCCTGATGCTGAGGAAACCAGACCGGCGGAGAAGCACGACTCAAACCTGGAGCTTCCGAGATGGGAAACTTCTGTGCGGCCTGCAGGGACTCGCGGTGCAGGTAGGCGAGGGGTCTGTCGGAACCGGGGTAGGGTCTCCTGCTTGGGCAGGGCAGGGGTTGGACTAGATGACCTACAAGGTCCCTTCCAACTCCGTCGATCTGTGTCTGTTTAAGGGGTGTTGCCTGGGTTTCCTGTTTGTCTTCTTCTTCCTCTGGTCATCTTGTCTTCTCCTTAGGCCAAAGGAGGCAGAGCCGGGCTTCGGGACGGGGCGGAAGTAGTTCTCGGACCTGACACCTCCCTTGAACAGTTGAGTCCGGTCCCGTCAGAGCAGCGATTCATCAACCAGAAGATGCGGCCTGGTTCTGGAGCCCTGGCGGTCCAGGTTATTCCGGATGGCCCGACCAGAGTGCTCCAGGTAACGGCCTGTGCTTTTATTGATTTGTTCTTTTTAATTTGATCTGAGCCTCCGAAACAGAGTGATAAATCCCCCACCTCCAAGTGCTCGTTTGTCTTCAATAGTTTTAAGTGCAAAAGCACCCCCCAAGAGCGAGAGAGAGGGAGAGAGAGAGGGAAAGAAAGAGAGAAAGAATGGGGGGGGGGGGAGAGAAAGAGAGGAGGAGGAAAGAGCATGAGAGAGAGAGAGAGGAGAAAGAGAGGAGATAGAAAGAAAGAGGGGAAAAGAGAGAAAGAGAGGAGAAAGAGGAGAGAGAAAAAGAGGGGGAAAGAGAGAGAGAGAAAAGAAAGAGGAGAGAGAATGAGAGGAGAGAGGGAAAGGGGGGAAGGGAAAGAGGAGAAAGAGAGGGAGAGAAAGAGAGAGTGAGAAGAGGGAGGGAAAGGGGAGAAGAGAAAAAGAGGAGAGAGAGAGAAAGAGAGGGGGAAAGAGAGGAGAGAGAGAAAGAAAGAGGGGAAGGGAAAGAGGAGAGAGAGGGGGAGAGAAAGAGAGAGGGAGAAGAGGGAGGGAAAGAGGGGAGAAGAGAAAAAGAGGAGAGAGAGAGAAAGAGAGAGAGGGGGAAAGAAAAAGAGAGATTTTCTTGTCATCCCATAGCTTGAAACCCACAAGACCCATGCTGTGTACAGACAACCCTCGAAAATTGTGCATTTCCTAGAATTGCCGCCCGAAAAGCCTCCTATCTGTGCCTCCCGTATTAGATCACCGATTTCAACCAGCGCCGGAATGAGCGTCTCTCGTACGAAGGAGAGGAGTTGGACCAGGACCTGTGGAAATTGAAAAACCCAGACCTGGAACAAGAGTTGGAAGTGAGTTTTGGCGGAAAACGGCTCTGGCCTGGAGGTTGCCATTCCTTCCCAAAGAACGACAACAACAACAACACCTCTTCTGTGTGTGTGTGTGTGTGTGTGTGTGTGTGTGTGTGTGTGTGTGTCGGTCGCCCTTTCGCAGGTCCAGCTGAAATTAGAAGGAGGGATCGGCTTGTCTTTGGTCAACAAGGCCCCCGAGGAGCTGATCTTTGCGAGTTTCGTGGGCATCACCGTCCACTTCACCCAGCTGTCGGCCAGTCAGGTGCTGGAACTGAGCATACAGGACGTGCAGGTAAGTGAAAGGACAGGTGGCCTCACTATGCTCACCTGAGGACCGGTCCAAGGATGGGGTGCAGAGAAGGACAAGAGAGAGGATTAG